CTCTACTTATGCATGAACTGGTGTATGTCAAATTTTAAATATTAAGATGGTAGTATGTTTTAAGTGATAGGTAAGATTTGAGTGGTATAAGGGTAAAATATAAAGTTTAGGTATTAGATATGTATTTTATACTGATTTGTCCTTGAATCACACCAAATAGGTAATGCGTTCGGAAGGGAGAGAACAAAGTACGTAAGAGAGAGAGAGAGAGAGAGAGAGAGAGAGAGAGAGAGAGAGAGAGTTTTTCTTGCTCCCAACAAACGAAAAATTGAGGGGTCCTAGTTTACATTCAAAACCTTCTATTAATTGGGAATATTCTTCATAAATGATATACTTAGGCATATATCATTTCTAGACCTCTTAACAGACATGGCTTGTCTTGCTGGCCATTTCCCCAATAAAATTGGGGCCTTTGATTGATCTTCTAACTTACTAGTTTTAGGAATGGGGGATGCCTCCAATAATTCTCGTACTCGGCTCTCCGTCTTTGGTCTTCCATACTCAGCTCATGGGTGTTCGACCCATGAATAGTTGGCAAACTTTTGTCCAATCTTCTAATGTTCCGAGTTAACCTTTTTGTTGTCTGCCCTGCCTTTGGAATCGCCTATCCGACTAGTTTGCATTGGAGGATGCAGCGAGAGCTATTCGGTCCTCACTGATCTAAGTAGCAACTTGTCCTTTATATATATATATATATATATATTAAAAGAATGGTCGTAGGCTATTATACGAGCTCCCAGCTATCCTCATATATTTAATTATTCTAGAACCGCCCTCACTACTAATAAACTGGTCAAAGGGGGATTTGAACTCGTGACCTGAAGGGACTTACGACCTTCAAAGAGGCTGTTCTACCAACAGTCCACGGCTTCCGGCACAACCACTTGTACGTTATATAAATACATAGAAATTCGGTGGTATGTATGTACATGCCCTCAGTTTAATATCTAACCATCTTTAGAAGAATGTAAATAACATTACTAAAATAAATACATGCAACAAAAAAGAGCTTATATAAGGCAATTACTAATGCAAGAACAATATCATAATTAATTCAAGTCAAACTCAAAGAATACATGAAGAAAAATGAAGAACAGCAATCAAATTCCTCATAGTTTATAACGGAGCAAATAAATTAAAACAACAACAACAACAACAAAAAAATAGAAAAGGTTTACATTTTGCTCACAACTTTGTTCCAATGAAAACATTTCATAAAAATTAAATACATAAAAAATTATCACAAAACATATTGCGCAGCTTCAATTCTGTTCTCTCTCAAATCTCCCCTCTCCCCCTCCATCCTTCGCGAATCATAAGTCCTTCATCCAAAAAATAAATGTAAATAAAAAATTAGATTTTAATATAAATATGCAAGCTTTTTTATGACTATTAATTAGCAAAATAAGCACTCACCATAAACGAGATTAAGAGGACAGAATTAAACGCCCAGAGGCTGTTTAATCCTAACCAAAGCACTTGAAAGAACAGAAAACCTTTCTGATTCCAGAGAAATGAGAACATTTCCTGGCCATGCATTCATATTGGGCCCGCTCATCAGCAGCGAAATCCTCATCAGTGACCGCCGTTACTGCAATTACGACGGTCATGATAAGCGCGCAGAGGATGATTGATTTGAAGTACTTGGCCGCCTCCATTTTTCTTCTTCCTTTTAACCGACTCTTGTCTTTCGCTTATGCGAATGAAGGGAGGAATTTATAGTGATGGGTTGTTGTTATTTTTAGGGTTTTGGATGAGCGGCGCAGGTTTTGTTTTTTGGTTTTTTTTTTTAAGGGCATATTTTGTTTTTCTTAAAATGGGAGGTTGTAGGGTTTGTATCGTTGGTTGACTACTCTTCAAATTTAGTAATTTGTTTTGAAAATCTTGGTACCATGAAGGAAAAAAAAAAGTGTTGTTTTATTTAGATTTTGAGAATTTTAGGCATGCGGTTGTTGGTTTCGTATGGTGTGGCGGTTAATTTTTATTGGTTAATGATGCTGAGATTATTGAAAGTCTTTGTATAATCAGTCGTATGTCTCGAACTAAACTAACTTCTTTATTAGCTTAGCTTGGTTAGATCAAATACTTAGAAAGCTCGAATTAATGTGTTTGGTCCATACCTAAGATTTAAATCATTGAATTGAGTTCAATCCATACCTAAGATTTAAATCATTGAATCGAGTTCATTGATGGCATGCCGATCAAATCGACACCCAAATAACGCCATGTAGCCAAACCCATACTTATTAATGTAGTCCAATCATATTTGATAATTGGCCATGTAATAAACGTGGGTGATGAATATCACAAGTTTCAATATAAGTGCAAAGGATCGAGAAACATCGTGAACATTATTCCTAATTAAGAAAAATGCATCAACAGTGTTTAAGGTAATAAGACAAACCTTTTAGGGGAGGTTAAAATTGAAATCCTATAAGAGAAATTATGGCAGTATTTCTTGAATGAATTATACACTAATTAATGAGATAACAAATACAATATTCTTTCATAAATAAATTATAGGGTGGAATTGTTATTTTCATTAGAGGATATGTTCATACCTTTGTAAAGTCATGTCCTAAGTCTAATCATGATCCAATATGATAGTGAAGATCTCTAGGTTTGGTCTATTACATGATCCAATATAATTTAGCCTTTCATTTTGCTCTCGCACCTCCTGAGCCCATAAGTAAATTTAGTTGCTCTGAGCTAGTCTATATAAGTGAAGATAACAAGCTTGATTTGTGTTTTAATAGAAATTAACCACAATAAGTTGTTGCAAGTTGCTCGAAGGTATACTAAGAGGGGTTCATATAGTTAGTTACAAATATATTTCTTCATGTAAGAGTCAATTGTTAGCAATATTAATACTTATTATGAGATCTAACATAATATTTGGTTCTTAAGAGTGATTTCATCTCAATCTAAGTTTATCATATTCTTAAACTCTTTGTAAAATATATTGGTTTTGTTGATTTTAGCATTTTTTGTCAGAATTTAGATTAAACTAGGAGCCTATGATTATTCAAATGTTAGCTTAGTTTGGAAACTTTGTTTGAATTTTGGCCTAAGCCAACAAAGTTCAACTTGGAGATGATCAAATACTACCATTGTATATATTGCATTGTTTTGAATATGTCAAACCTAATACATTGTTGACCTTAACAAGATAAATCATACCAATTATGAAGGTTGGTTTATTTGTCATTTTTAGCTAGATAAGGGCCCTAAAATTATGCAAGTGTTAGTGTTGCTTGTATCAAAACACAAATACTAATGAATGGTGAATGCAAATAATCAATGACCAACTTGTCTGTTATTATCGTTGCCCATCTTTTTCAGTAAAAGTATGAAGAGATCATGATTTTCTCGTATCAAACAATAATGAAAATATTTTATGGCTTATTTTTCATTAGCACAACTATATGTGAAGAGGGAGTAAGGCTACATGGGTTTCCTAAAATTTATTGTGTCGGGTAGCAAAATCATGCTTACTGCAGTTTATGAGGGGCTATAGAAGAAGGATTGAGTATTACATTGAATTTCAATCTAACAGTTCACATATATGTTCCATGCATCGTCGTTATATCATTTGAGATCATTGATAAAGCTAAAATGTTTGCTTTTAAGTTGAGACTTCTGCAAAATCTGAGGGTATCCATAATATGTTCCATGCATCGTCATTAAGGTGTTGAATTATAAATATAATAAAAGTAATAACAATAGTAAATACTAAGGTGAAAACTAATCTTATATAAATAGATGAATTTATACATATGATTGCTTCTTGGGCGAGCATATTAGAGAGAAAAACAAACTCCAGTGTTGGAAGTCTTATGAAGGCACAAAACTAACAAATAATCTCCATGATAAAAAAAGAGTTCAAGATAAAGTAGCTTTACAAAGAACTATTTTTTACATATGTTGACTTCAATACAAATGGATTGAAAAGTAATGGATGATCTATTTCAATGATGGGAAGATTATAATTCCAATAAGTGCAATAACCTGATTGATACATTAATTGATACATGTCTTTTTAATACAATGAGTGCTATTATAATTTGTATTTATATATCTACTTGTTTATTCATGTGATGCCTTTGTTTAGTACCATAATATTTTTCAAATAACATTGCTCGGTGCATTATTGCACATATGAACATGGATTAGATAAATGATAATATTTGTTAAAATTGTAAGAATCAATGAAAGGTGAATAATGCAATTTATATTAACCTTTACTATCAACCTTTTAAAGTCATTTAAATTTTGCTTTATGAAAAACATTTTGCAATGTGTTATGCATCAAGTAAAACCTTTATGTTTTTTTATAGACTTTTTTGACACCCTTTATTAGAACAAGCATTTCTTGCTCACTAGACTTTTGTTTTTCATATACTTTTTTTTCTTTTTTTTTCTTTTTTTTCTTTTTTTTTTCTAGAATTCCTTCTTATATGGAGCTTATATTGTTTAAAAAGAGAAATCAAAATTGGATTGAGAACTAAAGAGGCAACAAATGAGAACATATGTCATAACAATTGATTTAAGAGCATGTGTAATTATGAAATTCCTTCACTATGTAAGATAGGTTATCATCCCGTTATCTAATAATCTATTGATTTTATTTCATATGCGTTATGTCTTTTTTTTCATATGGGTTTCAATGATAAATTTATAATTTATTAGCATTTAATAATGTAAGTTTTGGTACATTTTAGCTTTTGCATTCTTGCTTATTTTTATGTCATTTTGAATGACAGTCATGCTAAACCCCAAACCAGATGACAAGACAGGAAAATGAAGCAGCGAAGGCGCTAGAGGCGTCACTCTACCAAGAGCACAGCGCGGCACGCACAAAGACAAGGCTCGCGCGACAGGGATGAGATCCCAGCGAACTCTGTTCATTCTTTGGCTTAGTCCTTCTATTTGAAAAGAAACAATAACAAAGTTCAACGCTGTTTGGTTGCGCCTTTCTTCCTTCTGATCTAGTCAAACTTCTAATTCAGTGAATGCGGAAGTTCCATCGCTACTTTTCTACGCAACCTTGGCCTCGAGTTTCCATTAGGAACACTTTCATCCGACTTGACTACGCCATTTGTGGCTGCTACTGAAGTGGCAACTAGATTGCCTAGTGATAGTGAAATGCTAGTGAAATGCTAGATCGATTTCAGCTAGATAGATCAAGCTTCAAAGTAGGAGCTCCCATGGGAGTTGGAGGTGCGGGATAGATCTCGTTCACTCTTGAGTTGAAATGTATGCTCGCTTGCAGCAATCTTGCGCAGTGGATTGTTAGCCAGTAGTTTTTTCTTTGCTACACACCTTTACTCTTTTAGAGAATGGAAGCCTTAAGCCTGACTACTTTCTTTCAAGACATGATTGAAGGCAAGGCTAATGCCCTGACTCCTATAGACCTAATCCTAATGCAGTAGCTATGCTATCCGTTCTTACCTTAAATGAAGTGAAGTTAGCAACAAACTTTCGAATCTACTGAATTGAAGATAGGTCGGCTGGATAAGTTCTCCAAGGCCCCAGAGTTACCAGCTAAGTATCTGATGAGAGGAGTCTCTTTCATGGTTTTGAATGAGAAACCAGTGGTTGAAAGCTGGAAATAATAAGAAAGATCGGATTCGTCTTTTACCGCGAAACGTACTGACTCATTTGTGAAAGTTTCTCAAACTCAAACAATAAGAAGAAAAGAGATCCTATATGAAATGATCGTTGTATAGAGAATAGACAATCTTTTCACTAAACAGGGGCGGTGAAAAGAAAAGGCGAGAGTTTGATTTTTCAAAAGAAAAGGAATCGGTTAGGGTTAGAATTTGTTTGGAAGTAATACCTATTGAGTAAAATACATAATACATGTTTCCTTACAATTTTGTCTTTTTGTGGATTCTATTATACTTATCTTTGATGTTGCATCATATGATATATATGCTTTCATGTTATTTATACAACCATTATACATCCATAATCATGAGTTGGTTATTAATTCATGTTGTTCATCTGATTGTAGGATATATATTCTACATGATATAAATGATGCTTGACGCATATATATAATCAAGGGCTTACTTAAAATGAATACATAATGGAATTTTGATTATAGCTCTACATAGGTGTGGCCTTGCCACATAAATGATAGCATAATGATGGAAGCAAGTAAAGAATGTGGTTTGAGTAAGCATATACTTATGTTCGATGTCAGTTGTGATGGCCTTATTATGAGTGGGGAAGCCCCTTGGGTGAATTAGATGTAAGAATTTAAAATTAATAAATGATTAATGAACAAAAAATATGACCAATTTTTATTTTCATATTATAACAAAAATGCTTAATATGATTTTGAGGTATTAATTCAAACTAAATCATCTCTTTACATGATCTAAGTGATAGACATGTTTAATCTATGTTACTAATATGCGGAGCCAAACATGAAATTCCATATAACATTGATCTGTCATGATTTATACACTGAAAATATAATATTATGATTGATATATATTCATACATGCATTGATTTTGATGGATTATTATCCATAATTCATGCATGTACATTGCATTATGTAGTTTATTTACTTCATTAATTATTATGTCAAGCCTAATTATTTACAAACATTTATACTTATTCCCTTTATATGAAATATAATACATAACATGTAATCACTTTATCTTCACTCTATTGTGAAAATTGTGGTATTAGTTTTTAGGAAAGTTAAGGAGGCTAAAACATAGAGAATGATTGGGTAAAATATACTACTTTGATCGTACATATTTCTCATTTATAATTATGCACCTCCACTTTTTGATGTTGTACATGATCAAATGATCATGACTATTGCATGGGATTCCTTTCAATGTAAATAATATATTCACAGAATGCAACTTTAAGTTTATTTTACTCAATAAGTATTGTTATATGATAGATCAGTGGCTTATGTTTGTGTACAAAAGCAATTGAAATTACATCAAATATAAATTGGATGTTTGAGGTGTGCTTTTTATGAATGACATGAACTTATTAATATCAAAATATTAAATTGTAGAACTTTTTTTCTCTACCTCCAATTCATTGAGGTTTAATGCATTTTAGGGTTTGCTTTGAGCTAAGCATTTTAATCTATGTCATAACTGCTTATTATAATGATTCCATTATCAACCACATAACCTTAATTATAATCATAACCATAGAAATTGCAGTGTGACCATCATTCACAAAGCTTACATCACAATCATCCATAATTGCCACATGTAAGATATGAGATTATTAAGATTCTAATTTTATAGAATAATTTTTTGTCATGTAATTATGTTAACAATCTTATAAGCTATTAAACCCTATAATGTTCACCAAAATTAGATTTTTCAAGTTTTTAGAATTCATTAAATTATTAAGCCCTCTTTTCAGCCTTCTCTTTATGTTAAAATACTAGCAAATGTATACTATTAAGTTTAATCTCACAACGATGCACATTGAGATTTTGGATAATTATATGAGATTTAATTGTGCATTAGTTTTTTTAAAAAATGAATTATAGAAGCTTGAAACGATTATAACTACCTGGAGTAAAACAATTTGATGCTAATATTTAAAATTGAGATGTTGAAAAGTGTCTTAACAATATAGCAGTCAACATATGGCCTATCAATGAAGCTAAAAGAGAGACTATTGGAACATAAAAGAAAAAAAAATCACCTATTCTAAAAAATTAAATTAAATTTATGTCAAATAAATATATTATGAAAATAATTTATTTAAAATAATTAATTAAAAAAATCTTAGAGAATAGAGAAACATCATAATTACTTCTCATTGCTTCTTAAAAAAAAAAAAAAAAAAAAAAAAAAAAGGAGAGAGAACACATGCTTATATTTCAAGAGACTTGATTTGATGAGCATTAAGCAAATTCCAAGTGTAAAGACATGTTAAATTTTTAAAGCTATGCATAATACACAACAACTTAGTATTAGAAGTAGCTGTAGAGTAATAAAAAGATTTAATTGCATTCTAATTATTATCTAATATCATTAAGCTCATAGTTCTTACATTGGTTAAACAGAGATGCTGATAAATGACCAGCAAAGTGAGGCATCTTAATCAATGTTATACATATATTTATAATAATAGAGAAATTGGAGGATGTAGGTTATGCAATTAGTGCAATACAAATAGAGCATATGAAATTATAATTAATGTGATAATAATAAAAATATTAATTAATTAATATTATTAGAATAAAATAATGATACCTAAGTATGGTATCTTTGAATCGATTACATTAATAACGAAAATCTTGAGTACGATTCACAAGCATTAGAATTAAGTGATTGAATATAGATGTACGCTGTGCGCAACTGGTAGCTTGTTGGTTGGCAGTTTCGGCGTAAGTCCCCTAGGTCCAGGGTTCGATTCCACCAGGCTCAAATTAGTACATATGGGGTGGACATACACATGTTGTCGTCCATCTTTTAAAAAAAAAGTGGACGTCGAAAATATTATGCGGAAAAAAAATAATACCATGATAAATTATATATAAAATTTAAAATTATGAATAATCTAATTATATTATATAAATTTAAGCATTATATAGCAAAAAGTCACATCAGCATGGTTTAACACCATATGAATAAGGATGTTAAAACCGATTGGTGTTAAAATTATGAAAAATATATTAATCAAAGATTATATTAGAGGAATGAGAGACCCCAGAAAAAAAAAATGTTTAAAATTAACAGTTTACGGAATATAAAATTAAAATCTCATTATTTTCTTGTTAAAAAAAAATGATGTTACATAAATATGATACAAAAAAGTGGGTAATTGTCGCGTGTCCGAGAATTTACGAAAGAGAAAAAGTAATGGGGTCTAACTCAATTGAAATGATTCAACTATTCAAATGTATTTTACAAGAATGTGTACGTCCTTAAACAGCATAAAATAATATTATAAGAATATGAGAAAATATTGGAGAAGTGATGACCACACGATTGCGATGATGGAAGGTCAACACCATGAGTTGTGTGATGGCAATGTGGATTTATTGGCACTGATGATGATGACCGCTAGACAACAGTGATCTAACAACATTAATAGAGATGTCGAGGTGACGATGACATGACAATAGTGATTTGATAATGGAGACCTAATCGTGGCAATATCATCACTCGGACACCCGTGGTATGAAAACAACTACCATAACAACTAAGCATTGGTGATGGCAACAACATTGTTAGTCATATAACCATGTTCTAGTGGTTGGTAGGTGAATGTGGCATGAGGATAGTGGGGGCCGAGAGATAGTTTCCCGAAGAAGACAATAGTGGTCTGATGATGGTAGTGACAACTGTAGTGTTGATGGCGTGATAGTGCTGCAACAACGAAGAATGTGGCCTTGCATTGGTGTCAGCCATGTGGCAGTGGTTCTATTGCTTGCTTACCTGAAAAAGGGAGATCCTGCATGGTGACAAAGATGGCCGACAGATAATGATTTGGTGACATCGATAATGGACAACAATAGCAAAGTCGATCAGGCTCTTGTGATCTGGAATATCATTAACTTGGAGATGAAGATCTTATAATGATGGTAGTTTTTCGGTAATGGTGGTCTGAATATAGCATTCAGATGGTGGCTTAACATCAATTGGTTGATGGTGGTCTTATAGCGACGATAGCTTGATGATGGTGGTCCGGCTTGGTGGTGGTGGTCTGGTGATGGTGACTTGTGGCTCAATGTCTGTCAAGAGTCGGTGGCAAGAATAGTCTGACAAAGTTGCTTTAGTACATAGGGGATGATCCAATGATGGTGGCTCAACAAAGGTGGCAATGGATTGGTGCTGTTAGGTGTTTGAGGTTTGGTGGCAATGACAACCCAATGATGAAGGTCCAACATGACGATGATGACCCATTGTTGGTGGTTAAGTGATGACGGCCTAACTGTGGCAAAAGTAGTTCGATGGTGATGAAAGTGGTGGCTCGACGTCAATTGGGTGTTGGTGGTCCAAGATGACGGAAAACTGCGGAGAGATAACCAGTGTAATGAAAAAACCCCCAAAATGAATATTATAACATAACATTGCATGATACCAGTCGGGATCTATCGATGGGAGCAACTGAGAGAGAGATGAGAAACATAAAAGAGAGAAGTGACCTAGGGTAACAACGGTCGAGCGAGGGAGGAGACAGATAGAAGGGCACGAGAAGAAAAAAAACCCTCGAACGCGGATTGAAGACGATGGTCGCGGGGTCGATCCCGTGGGTCGCGTCTATTAAAAGATGCCAAACTCCGTTTTCAAATATGTGATACAAACACACAGAATAAACAATGGAGCAGTGTTTTGAAAACGCCAAATGTGATTATAAGCGATGCCGAACAGAGCCTTAATTTAATCATCCTTAATTTAATCATCAAGAATTTTGCTTCTAATTTATAAAATTTTAAAGCTCTAGTGACTGTTTTTTTTGGGCACGTGAGTTAAATCAATTTATAAATGGTTTAAAATGTCTTTTGCAGGTCTCCAGCCGTGTCTCACAATTTATAAATGGTTTAAAGGGTCTGTTTGGCGCAGCTGCAGATTGTCAGCTTTTCAGCTGCAGGCGCG